AGTTTAGCCCCTACAGAAAAGAAGTCCATGGGAGCAGCTGCCTAAGGGTGAACAGAGGAAATCTTTTGTCTAGCCTTTTGCCTCAGCTCTTAGAGAAAGACTTGGACGTGGCACCTGGTTGCCTCATATCTGCTCAGTCATTTTACAACTTGCTCTTCTATGAGCTGAATTTGCTCATGAATTCATCCTTTTTCTTAAACATCCAAACATCCTGAGGCAAGAAGTTTCACAGCTTAACCAAAAGTTTACCAAAGGAATATCTACTTCTGTTTTCAAGCTGTCACTTATTAATTTAAGAAGATGCCCCTTGTTCTCGTAATGAAAGAGACAGCGAACAACAAATCCCTACAACAACAAATCAGCATCTCCACAACACACAAGATTTTTATAGGCCACTATCATATTCCCGCTCTATCTTTTCTGTGTCAGGCTGAAGTGTCTGCCATTCCACACACAGGATCCATTTCATGCCCTTGATCCTCCTCCTTGTTGCTATCCTCTGCACATTTGCAGTTGTGCTCTATCTTTCTGAGCCTGCGGGACAGAAGAACTGCAGACACCTTGTACCTGGAGCAGTGAAAGCCACCTCAGTGCACACCATTCTGTACGTAACATTTGGATTGTTCTTCTTATGTGAATCACCTTACATTTGCGCGTGTTGAATTTCATATGCCATTTTATTGCCTAGTCATTCCATGTCATGAGTTCCTCCCGCACTTAACCACAGTTGACCCTTGTCTTTTCTACCCAGGACAACTTAGTGTCATCAACACATGCTGTCACCTCAGTATTCACTTCCCTTCACAGGTCTTTTATGACAGATGAACAGCACAGGTTCCAGCACAAATCCCCATGCGCTGCCACCGGTGACCTCTTTCTACTGTAACTTATGACCATCTATTACCTCCCCTTATTTTCATCTCTACCAGCCTTGTGTGAATGACCTTATCATATACCTATCCCAAATCCAAGCAGACTATAGCAATCTACCCTGCCTACATGCTTGTTATCTCCTTCTAAAGACTCTCAACATGTTGATTCCTTTCCCTAAGTATCATGTTCATCTGCTTATAGTTTCTACAGATTTTACTGTTACATACCAAGTTTACCGGCCACATCTTTCTGAAATCCTTATTTTGCTAAAAATACAATGATGGCTTCATATTCCACATCTTTCCATCATCTGCTACTGGAGCATTCTTAAAGAAAATACAGTATCAACAATGAGTAATTCAACTTTAGTCCTTCTAGAGTTCTTAGGTGAATGGTGTCTGGTCCTGGTAGGGCAGAATGGTCCACACTGTCAACTTCTCCTGCAGCCTCTTCTACTGACATGGTATTGAGATAATCATCTGACGCACCGCCAGGAAAGAAAGGTTCCAGCATAGAAATTTCTCCAAGCTGGCTTCACTTTGCAAAATATTTTTCCAGTTTTCCTGCTCTAGCCTCATCTTCTCTGAGCATTCTTTGTATATACTCAGACTATTTATTAGCCTCACAGACTATTTCTTATACGAAGTCATGTTCCAGGAACAAGTTGCTCAAAAGAGTAATGAAGAGAAAGACTGTACTCCTGGTGCAAGTATTTGTAATGTCTTCAAAGGCCCTGAACTGACACTAGAGGATTCCTAGCAAAGCCATGTTTTCATGTTCATCTGAAGAGCAGGCCAGAAGCATACTCTCAAACCGGTGAAAACAACCTGGCTCTTTTTATGGTGTATTTACTGACAGCTCAAGCTTTTTTTTTGCCTGCTAGTGCATTGATTTAAACATGATAAAACCCAATCCAGAGAATTATAATAAAATAAAAAAGTACAATGAGAATCCTGCTTATCAGATCCTCTGAGAGACCTCAAGTGCCCTCTCTACTAATTGAATGCACAATCCCCATTTCTGAGTAATAATTTCATATTGTTTCAGGCTGCATTTGTGAGTCAAATTGTTTTTAAACATTGAGTTTGTTTTTCTTAAAGAGCCTGAATGCCAATTAGCATGCAGCATAAATATCGCTCAGCTTTCAAATAGCATTATGAAATGCAAGAAGCATCGAGGAAACAGGAACCACAGCTTTTGCCAGTTCCACAGCCTGAGTAACCTTAAACTCAGGTTCACAAGAGATCCACCAGATTAATTGGGGAGATCTATTTTCTGATACAGAGTTAAGAATAAGGCTCTATTTTGAGTTCAGAGCTGTTTACTACTGCTGATATTTAATCCTCCGGTCTCCTGGGAAAGGAGAAAGAACAAAGAGAAATGCATCTTCAGGCATCAGCAGGACAGGTGTATTTCTCATGTGGGGAGAACTGGTGACAAGTCCAGCCTATAAAACAGATGATGAAAGGAGTAAAATTTGACAGCAAGCAGGTGCCGTGTTTGTGCTGCTGTGTAGCACTGCTGACAGCGCAGGCTGCCCAGAAAGCCTCCTCCTTTTAAGGCAATCAATACTGCGACAGAACTGATAAATATATACATATTGCTGTCTAATTAAACATGTGAATTTAAACTTTTATATTCTAATTTGCCTATTTAATATCTTAACCACATATATATATTTCAGGGTTTGGCGGAAGGGTTTTTTTGGTTGATGTTGGGGTGTAGGGGTTTTTTGTTTTCCCCTTTGTTTTTGCTTTTTAATTCAAAATATGAGGGGTCTTGCCTGTCTTTTCCCTGCTACTTTTCCCAACTTCCCACCCTTTTCAAAACCTGAAACTTTTCCACATGCCTCCAGCTCTGGGAAAGTTACAGACTGGCAAAGGAAAAAACCAACAGCTTTCCCTTTCATGCCTTTCTAAAACATGTCACTGCTGACAGCGCAGGCTGCCCAGAAAGCCTCCTCCTTTTAAGGCAATCAATACTGCGACAGAACTGATAAATATATACATATTGCTGTCTAATTAAACATGTGAATTTAAACTTTTATATTCTAATTTGCCTATTTAATATCTTAACCACATATATATATTTCAGGGTTTGGCGGAAGGGTTTTTTTGGTTGATGTTGGGGTGTAGGGGTTTTTTGTTTTCCCCTTTGTTTTTTAATTTTAATTCAAAATATGAGGGGTCTTGCCTGTCTTTTCCCTGTTCCCAACTTCCCACCCTTTTCAAAACCTGAAACTTTTCCACATGCCTCCAGCTCTGGGAAAGTTACAGACTGGCAAAGGAAAAAACCAACAGCTTTCCCTTTCATGCCTTTCTAAAACATGTGTATCAGCAATTTAAGCAGCTTTTTTTTTTAAATAAAATAAGATAAAAATTAAACCTAAATTTTGATTTAATTTTCTGTTCAGAGAGTTGATATAGAAAATGGTTTTTTTTGTTTTGCTTTTCTTGTTTTTCTTTTGGCCAGAAAGCTGTTTGTTCTAAGCAGCTTTTTTTTTAAATAAAATAAGATAAAAATTAAACCTAAATTTTGATTTAATTTTCTGTTCAGAGAGTTGATATAGAAAATGGTTTTTTTTGTTTTGCTTTTCTTGTTTTTCTTTTGGCCAGAAAGCTGTTTGTTCTAAAAGTTAACTGTGTATCCAGCAGTATGTTACCAGCAAAAGGGACTCTGAAATGGAAACACTGATTAGAAATACTGATATTCTCCCCACTTCCTCTCCATTATTTTTACAGCAAAAACATCAATCGGTATTACAATTACTATTTATTAATATTTAGAATACTGCATTGTTTTCAAAATCTTCATATATATGCTTCTACAATTAATCTGTAATGCCAATATACATTGAAATATTAAACTTCAAAGTTATCTTTGAATGTGTTAGACGTATTTATCTCTGAATATCTCAGACGTAATTAAGTTGAAGTTATTTATACATAAGAAATCTAAACAGAGCTGTGTGGGAGTCAGAACTCCCTTTAATGGGACAGCCTATAATTGTAGTATCTCCCTCTGTTCCACATTGGAATTATTCCATAATTTCCTACAAAAGAATTTTCAGTCATGAAAATTGTTTTAAAGCAAGAAAACAATGCTAGAACTTCATCTTTTAGAACTGCTACAGACCACAAAATACACTTCAAAAAGAAACATCATGAAAGCCAACACAATCCCATGGAATGTCTGTGTTTCGACAAAAAGACATTTTTGGAAAACATTCATTGGCACACTTCCAAACAGCTCTCACTGCAAAAACTGATGTATACTTTGACAGTGATAGTAACAGATATAGTTGTGTTCTGAATACCTCTTTCTCCTCAGGGCAATGTTGCCTATGTTATACAGAGTAAGAGAAATGACAGCAAAAAGATTAGCTCATGGAGAGTGCGAGTGTATTTTCCAGTTTGGGTTCTAAAGGGTGTTGGGAAAGACTGATAAAATATAGAGGGAAAAATTTAGCTGACAAACTAGAAATATCTTTTCACCCTACAGAGATTCTAGCTGCTCTATCCGCATGGAACAGTGCATTTATTAATTGTTACTTTATAAGAATTCCTGCAGAACATGCTCTGGTAAGGATGCTGGGCAATTCCAAAAACAGTTGTTAATCAAAGTGCTATGTCAGAAACTTCAAAAAGAAATAGCAGGGAAATCCTTTAAAAACGTAATGGTCGGGTCACTGTATTTTTCTGACACCTTCGCAAGAAGAGCTACATGTTTTCTAATTATGGCCAAACATGATGTTCAGCTCTGCACTAATGAGCCTATAAACAGCAGACTGGAAGGAACCGCCAATCGGTCATGGAGGTACTGCTTGCTAACTGAGCTTTAGAGGGTAAGACCTCTCTACAGAAAAAGAGCTGTCTCTCTATAGTGAAAGAAAGGGACTCTTCAAAGCAGCCCTTCAAGAAAGTGTTCCACTATATTTAGTACAGAAACCTAAAACTCAGCATTAACAATCTTTTATTTTAGCAAAACCCTTGCTCAATTAAGCATCAAGTTCACTATGAATGAGACACTTGATGATGACTACAATGTCTCAGAATGCTTCTGAACCATTAGAAGGATATGAGGTCACCTTTTTCACCTTTAGGGAAAACTTTTACTCATAACTTTACCTTTCTACAACATCCTCTCCATTCCAGCAGGTTGAGCTGTCTCTCATCACCAGGTCTCCATCACACAGCCTTTCTGCTATAGAGGCATAAAAGGTTCGGGATCGCTTCATGTAATTGATGAACTCTCTGTAACGTAGGAAGAACACATTTAACAACAGAATAGTACACTTATGGTTTAAGCCTCCTGTCAACTTAACCCTCCGCAAGGTTAAGAGTTTAGAACCCTTACAGAAATTAAGTCATCCAAGTTGATTAATTTCTATTTCTAGTGTATTTCTACTCCTATGTATCATCCAGTCTTACCTAGTCCAGTGTTAATAAACATGATTACATCCAAAGGGTGGTTTTAACAAATTACGTTAACACATCTCACGCAAAATTTGAAAAAAGTCTACACCTACTATCTCTGTTACTGGAAGTGAGTATTCCTCCCTTTCCTGCACATGTGTGAGATGAATTAAGAACACTGTCAACAACCTCCTGGGTGGAAAAGGCTTCCTAAAGCTAACATCTCATCACAAAACCTGAAATATGCTGCAAGTACCCCACACATGAAACAACAGTACAGAAAGTCATCTCCTTGAGATGTGGTGGGGCCAATTCCTCCCCATCATCACTATCCATGTCACATTCTTTAGAAAGAAATTTCTCTCTCATCATGTCTGGCACCTCATACCTGTTAAGAGGAGGCTGTGCCTGCTGCTTTGGTGAATAACCAAAACTCCTGGCCAGTACAAACAGCCCATTTCTGATCATGTGTGTACAGAAAAATGCCTTGTGGGCAAACTGCTCCGTGTTTTATAATCTGATTATATCTATAATATATATCTGGCTGAGGTAGCCATAAAAGTCAACTGTAACAAAACAAGTGTTAATTCAGCACACAATTAAGAGTATTTCAGAATGAGAAATTACCCTATCTCCACAGCTTTAGAAGCTCCTGTTTGGTATAAGACATTAAAGATGTTGAGAACAAGACGCAGGACACAAACTGAGCTAGAGCTATCACAGAGCTATCTGCTTGTCTCAGAAGTACCTCAACAGCCCCATTGGGAAGGCCAAAGAACTCATTCTGGTTTATAATGTTTCTGCCTGGCAGGCTGTAAGGGGACACTGCACTGAAGAGGTGCCTGGGGATACAGCTGGATGGAGCTTGGTGCAAAAACAGTCAGGATTTATTATTCTTTTGGGAGCAACAGGTGCTTTAAACAATATCAAAGTCCACTGCTAGGTATCTACCCCTACAAGGTTTAGGCAGTGGTCATCTCTCCCCACAGATGTCTTTATGCTTTCTCAAAAGCGTTTAACCATCCCATTTATCTTATGTGTGATGAAATCCTGCTCGAGATAAATTAGCCATCACATGGTCCTGAGGAACTAACTTACCCTAACAATGCAGGAAAGCTGTCATTTTAAGCAAAGAAAAGAAGAAAAAAAGCAGGAATTTTGGGGCTTATGACAAGGGAATCAGTATTTCTATCTCGACCGCTAACTTATAAATATGAGCTCTAAGTATTTATACAGTAAAGCTAGGTCCAGACAGGAGGCCACCTACCTGACAGAACAGCCTAAGAGTATCAATTATGAAAGGTGACACAGATGCTAAAGATTTTACAGGTTCTAAAATGGAGTTTTCTTTGAAGGAGGGAAAGAGCACCCTTTTAAGAGTCTAAAGCTTGTCTTACTCAGCTCACCCCAGGAGGCTTAAACTCCTTTGCATTTTCAGCAGAGTGGGGCTCTGACATTTCAAAGTAGCATCTTAGCAAAGGCAGAATTCTGTGTCCAACTCTTAATCTTAACAAGTGAAAATATTTACACTAGATAGAAAATGTACAGTTTCCCAATGCCCTACAGTATAAAAGCAGTAATCAAAAGTATGCCAATTCCTAGATTACAGCTGAAACAGCAGCTTATAATGGAGATGAGCTAAGTGTAGAGACAATGAAGTATGTCACCTTGTTTTCATTCTTACCGAGAGATTTTTTTCAAACTTCTGGATTTGTCATTCTTTGAAGCTTTCAGAGGCAGAGAACTGGAATAGGCCGGGGAGAATAAGCATCAATCAGGAGAGGTTTGGGAGTAGGGGAGAAGCAGGAATTCAGGCAAATGAGGAGAAAAGAAATGAGAAACAAAAGAGAAAAGTAAAAATTATTTGAAAAAAAGGTCATCAAGCACATGCATAGGATAATATAAGAAAATAAATAAGGAGGAAAATTGTCATGAGATTTTTCCAAAGTATAGATGCAATTAAAAATGTCAATGCAATACTGAAAAAAAATACAACTGAGATTGTTTCTCCCAATCATTTTCAAATAAAAGCACAATTACAAATACAGCACACAGCAAAAAGCTGAAAATAAATTCAGTGGTACTTAAATTAACTATAACTGATACCAAATGGACGAACTGTAAATATATGAGGCTATACAAGAAAACAATGGCAAACAGTTTAGAATGAGCACCATGGGAAGGGGGATACAAATGAGTAGCATTCATTTTCTGGTACAATTAGCAATTCGCTGTCTGTTAATAAATAATGTGAATACAGATTTTTTTGCTGTTCAGTTCTGGCCAGATTGTACCACTGAAGAAAAAAAAAAAAAAGACGACTTTGCGAAACAGAAGAGACAGGCTCTAAGGTTATATTGGAAGAAAAACACTGGAAATAACCCTGGTAGTTATTTAGTGCAAATGCATTTTGTGGCACTGATATCCCAAGGTCCCTTAATTAACATTAAACATTGTATTGAACATGAACACCATGATGCAATTTTCCACTTACGTGATTTGATACCACATCCTGTTCTTTCTTATACCCATACTCTCATGTATAAAGTAATGGCAACAGCTGGAGTAACGCATGCCTGCAAACAGGTTCAACGGTACTTGCCAATCCAGTTAACTCTTACTGGAGAGAGTAAGCACCACGTTCAGCAGCTCTGAGGACACACAGACAATGGCGGCTTTGCCATGGTACTTTCTGGGAGCTAGCAGCAGGGGTGGCCACAGATGGACCTGCACTGATCATCAGGTGAGTGTCTTACCCCCCCCCAGCCAGTCAAAAAAGGAAATTAGAATTTGTAACAGGGAAAATCTGGACCTGCTGAAACTTCTGCCTTGGCCAGTCAGTCAGAAATGTTTGATTCATTTCCACAGTAAGTTAATTTGCATCTGGCATTAATAATGTTTTGTATTAGCACTTTAATACTCAAATTTTAATAAAATCATAAAATTAATAAAAATGTGATGCCTGACCCAATAGGTAATTAGTTTTAAATAAAGTAGATGACATCGACTTCAAACATTCCCAAAAGAAACTCAAAATTGTTTATTTTAAGATGTATAAAAGAGCCGTAAGTTCACAGTATAACAAAGAAATCCCAACAAAATATCATTTCAAAACCTGCCTCCTCCAATTAAGGACCTAATATCATGTTATAGTTCTTTGTTAAACATAACATATTTTTATATACAGATCTGTAACCAGTCTATGTTTAGTGGTTTGAAATATTACATGCAGCAGACATGCTAAAAGGCAGGTATTCAACTTTGCTAGGAGTCTGGACCCTGACCAGAATAGTACTTTGTGCTGAACTCAGAAATAACATTCCAATTTACTGATTAGGATTCTATACATGCCATGTACATTCCGTGTACCATCATACGGTTTCAATTTTCTTGTCATCTCTACTACATGTTATAGTAACCTCCACATTAAAAAATGACTACAGCAGCAATCCTGCCGGTTTCAGTTAATCCCTGAATACAATTGTGAAATACCAAAAAAAAAATTAATAATCAAATCTATGCTTTTCAGCTTCATCAGAGGAAAAGATTTCCTGCAAGATCATGCAACATTTATTCAAGTTTCAGCTTCTTACACCATAGTCCCTGACACTTAGTGTTGCATAACAAAAAACATGCAGGAATGGAATGCAGTGGAAAATAAAGAAAGATGGGAAATCTCCCAGGAACCCATGAGAGTAAAAGGAGCAGAAAAGGATTCAACTACCGCAAAAGAGGATCCAGCTGCTATGTGAATTCAGGGACCATGCAAGACCACGCTGTGCAGCACAGTGGAGGGTGAGAAGGACTGCCTCCAGCCAGACTCAGAAAACACACACCCAGAAGAAAGACCGGTCAGGCAAGGAGACACCATCTTAACAGTCCCACTTTTCAACTTCACGAGCAGCCTTGGCTCTACTGAACAGCTAAAACCAGAGGTTCTCAAACTCTTTGGAAAAGGAGCTTGATTTTGTAACTGGCCTTGCAAAGATGCAATACCTTTGGAGCAAACATACATATATAGGTATAAGCTGTTTGGCACTAGGTTTTTAAGGGCATCTCTAAGCTGGTACTACAGAAGAGATGAGAGGCCACTTTCTTGTGGTTTCTCCTACAGATGTGCTAACCAGACTTGGTTCTTCTCTTTGAGCTTGGGAATATTCTGACACATTAAGGGAATGAGCCACAGCTTTTCTGTTTACTTGAGGAGTGCCGGCTTATTCCTTCTCTTTTTCTTTCCTTATTCTAAAAGGCAGGAGTCATGTTCTATATTCCTCTTGAATTAAGGATCATTTGGAGGCATGTCTACTATACAGACCAACAGACTCAGACAGGCCAATTCCCTGTGTGACCTTGCACCTAAACTGACAGACAGCTGATGTTATTGCTCTTTATTTTTTAAATCGCCAGAAGGAGTGGCACCAAAAAATATTCACATAATTACTTTCATAATCTAGATCCCCTGTAGCAGTTATCTATCACTCTAAGTGCATTTTACACAACACACTGCAGGAATGATTTCAGCCATCCATTATAAAATTTTATTACCTAAAATTGCTTTTTATTGATATCATATGTGATTAAATGATAGATGATGAACAACACGGTGATGTAGCCAATCACTGTGTACTTCACTCTATTTACTGTTTCACAATTGTTTCCAAGAAGCAAACTACAAGCTTCATGTCATATATTTTACAGCAAGTTGTGGAAAATTTAAAAATATTCTCCACTTCTTACTAATTATGCCTCCATCACTCATTTTTGGTGCATGGACTCTCCACAATACCTATCAACACTGTATTTCAGTAATGTTTTATGCTAATTAAAATTATGCTAAGGATGGCCTTAGTTTAGATTTTTTGGATAAATTAATTTTCAGTGCGCAGACCAATTCTGGGAAACTGTCTAATTTACAGCATATTAATTTTAGTATATTTACTTTTCCATCTACAGGTCTTAAATTTTAAAATGTCAATATCCAAATAATTCTAGATGGTTGGGAAGGGGAGGGACCAGATCCTCAGGTGAGAAAGAACTGCTGTCATGCCATTAAAGTCACCAATTTGCATTTGTTTAAGAGGTTACCTGTTAATAGGTTGGTAAATCTGCCTTTTTGGTTGCCAGCGTGTAAGTCCCAGTGAAGTCAATCAGTTATAGAGAAGATGGCCTAGAGCTCTGCGGCTTTAAAAGCATATTTCGTTAATTGTACTACAACTGTTCTCTGGATTATTACTGCTGAATTTATTAATTTAATTTCCTTAATGCTCTTTTCTCTGATTTGCATGGTAAAAATTGATAAGCTCTAAGCACTAGCACAAACTTTTGTGTTTTGGTTTTAAATTATAAAGGCATAAAAATATTGCTATCACTCAAAAAACTTAGCTTGCTGCTATTTTATCTTTTAAAGTGGTGTTTGCTTCAGTCATGCAAGCTTAGATGAGAATTAAAATAGAAATGGATAAAAATCTCATCTTCACAACTCAAACTGGAGAATCCAGGCTATGGAAATTTTAATATTGCTGTCATCCACCTATCCAATATACAGAGATACACATGGGCTCCCTGGGCAGATTAGATACTGTTCTCAGATACAGGTGTAAGCCCAGCATGATTCCACTCACTTCGCTGCAGTTGTTCCAGATTTATACTGGTGTTACAGAGAACAACATGCTAGCCAGAAATATGTCATTGTGATTTTATGGTCAGTTAGCTGTGACATTTACTCACATATCATGAGTGGAATTGGAAAGACACCCTTCCCTCCCCACTTAAAATTTACAGAAAACCAATCCAGGAGCTACACAAGGGGAAGTGAAAGAAAGACTAGGAGATCTGGGAGCAGGGATACTCACGCCAGGGCCAGTAGCAGTAATTCAGCTGTCTAGTGTCTCAACTGGCACACAACTGAAGAACAGAACCCAAGACAGAGACAACAAGCCTAAACATAAAAGCTTCTGCTCTTGCTCTGTTATGTAACAAATCAAGGAGATTGCAAGGGATCTTATTACTCCTCCACAGCCCTGTGAAATGAGGGACTGACTTTGTTTCAGGGCAATGAATCTTTCCTTTTCGCTCCTTCCTCTTTCCCACCTCTGCCCCTTGATAAGGTCAAGTCCTTAAAGACCTGGGCAATTGTATTTTAAGTAATCCAGACTCAACTGTGGAAATTACTCAGACTTTGTTGAGGAAAAGCTTTCATTGTTTTCACTGAAAGTTTCTGGAAATAATGAACACCTTGGTGCTAACTAATGACATCAAGTTTGGCCTGTAAAAAGCTTTTCTTGGAGAGACCTGCAATTTAAAACCACAAACACATCTGTGTAACTATCAGTGATGGCAACGGCTGGAGAACACACAGACAGGGTGACAGAACTGTGGCTCTGGCTTAAACACTATGGTGCTAGGAACCATTAACACAAATTGTGAGGCAGAAAGTTTATTTCAAAGCAACTGTTGCTTAGGGTTACCTTCTTTTATTGTTCAGACTAGCGTGAGCCATCACGAATGTCTGGATTTCAGTCGCTTCCTTCACTGGCACTATATTGTCTGATGACAGGTTCCCTTCTTGTTGTTTGGGCTGTCCACACACTTTATCAACCTGTATGAAAGGAAGGGAAAGGAAAACCGGGTTTGAATGGAGAAACTGATTTACAATTGCCCAAAGGTCAGCTTGTTCCTTGTGGTCGGTGTTTATCGCAAGAGAAGGTGTCTGGGGGAGAGAAAGACAGGATTCTTCTTTCCAGGACCTGGAAACTAGTCCCCTGCATAAGAATGACCAAATTAAGAGGCAGTGCAAAGAGCACTGCTACCAGAAAGCCAACAGTCATGGATTTGTCACTGTATACCTGGACTATAGCACACCTGGAAACAGGCTGAAATAGTGACTGATGGAAGTGTTGCCAAACCAAACTTTTATTTAGAAACGTACCTGGAGTTTGTAGGTACACAGATTTTGGTGGAACATCTGCCCTGTGTATAGAAAGCAGAGTCTATCTGGTGTTTGAAGGAGCTTGTAATCAGAAGACAACCGAGTCTTCCAGCCTTTAACTAGACAATGTTCCCTTAAAACAAGGAAATGAGCAAAAGAAGTCAGCATCAACACGTCACTGTCCATAAAGTCTTTTCTTGGACAAAACAGAATGAAAAGAGAATTTCCAGCCCTGGGAAATCATCAGTGCCTTGGATCCTGGGTTCGGAAGACTAATATCGCTCAGCCATTTGCCCTTGTTGCCCTTCCTGAAGCCTCTCATAGAGGATTTAATACAAGACCAGGAGAAAGCAAGCTTACGTTTATCCTTTGTGCACTTGTGGATCTGACACTGCTCCTGCAGCCTGCCACATTTATTTGCTGTAACAGCTTTAAGTGACAATAGTAAGACAAACCTCTTCCCTTTCTAATCCACAAATAAGTGAACTGTAATGTTTTCACCTACACTTAAATCCTCAAGCAAACACGAAAAGGAGACAAAGGAAATCCTACTGTGGGCATGGTACTACCAGAGATCTTAATCGCACAGAATCCATCATCTCATACAGCACTGAATTTGGTATCCCTTCTTCAGTTTTCATTATAACCAGGGTGAGATGGATTCTTGCTGGTCTGTGCATTTTACTGCATCTTTAAAACATTTACTGAGTCACAACTGCCTATCTGCTGAGTATTTCAGACCACAGACAACTTCAAATAATTTTCTCTGCCCCTTTGCACCACTATGTTGTATATGTCAGTGCAAGTACAGGACAATTTTCTCTACCTTAGCCCATTTCCCCCAGGAAAACTACTGCTATGTAAAGCTATGATATTTTCCTCTAAAAAAACAGGCCAATCGAACATGAAAAGTTGGAAGCTCTATAGGCATGACACTTAACATCAACTTTAGTTGTATGAGTTGCAGCCTGGTCCAGTATAATATGCTGTGAAGAACCTAAAACTGTAGCAATTAAATGCAAACGTACTGGATTAATCCTGACATACCTCCAGCAGTCAGAGTGGGAGCCAGCTGCCTCACTCAACACCATGCACTGTGTATATTGTTCTGGTCTCACCAAGGACTAGCATGGCATTGCTTTAAAACACAACTTTGTGAAATAAAATATTCTATTTCAGTCCTTTCTAAACTTCTGAAAAGAAAAAAAAAACACAACACTATGTAAATGAAAATATAAAACAAAAATGCCTTTTGAACTCTTTAGAGCTGGACAGAGAATATAACACAGCTGGACCACATTCCTGCGCAGGATGCTCTCTCCCGTGCCCCAGGTTTCCAAGGTCTCCTATAGCATATGCAGACCCAAATTCCCAGCATAGGCTTCTGCAAAATCCATCTTAGATTACATCATGTCACGAAAGTTCATGTCTTCAAGTTACATACACCTCAAATCTAGTCACTATGGATTTAAGACAGTTTTAACCAACTAACACCAGAATGGTTTGGAAAAAGCAATGTGGTTCTCATTTACATAAGCAATGAAGAACTCCAAGTTTTTTGGTTTTTTCTGTGAGAACTTTCAAAGAGATTTAGAGTCATCACTTTTGTTGTGAATCAATAGTTTAAGCATCCAAATGAAAATACTCACTTTGTTTTGATTTGTATTTTTGATACCATAGAAATAAAATTACTCTTTAAATTGCAAAAGTTTCAGTATTTTCTATGCCAAACCTTAACTTTGGGGTTTTCTTTTTAACCAGCAATAACAGTTTCCTGCATATCAAGCAAAACCACAGTATTTTAAGGAGAAAATATTTCTCAGCGGAAAATTTTAACCAGTTCTATGCCATTAAAAAGAAAGTAATTCATTAAATGAAAGAGCAAATCACATTCACAGTTTTTTGTCATGTGGGCCTTTCAGTGCCTTTCTTCTCATTAATATGCTACGAAACACTAGCAATGCTCGATAATTTAAACTAGTGCACAGACATTTTAATCTGAAGTGAGATTAACAAGATGGAAGATAAAATAATGATATATTATTTGTAATAACAGTAGCTGTTAAATGTCTCAGCTGAGATCTGGACTGCGTTTTACTAGGAAGAAAAAAAACAGCGCGACCAGTCCCTGTCAGACAGCATTTGACACTTAAAGGAACAAAAAATGATGGGAAACTGGTGCAGAGGCACAAAGTGACTTCTCCAGTGTCACAGCAGGGGCCCATGGGAGACCACAGCTCGCTCTGTGTGTAGTCAATGCCCTGGCCTGCTTGTGCAGCTCAGCCCAACAGCCCTCAGCCCAGACCCAGCTCCCCACGCTGGTTCCACCTGTGCTGCACGGGCCTGGGCAGCTCCAGCAGGGCCGAGCTAGCAGCTCATCGGCCCTCTTTTCTTCCCACCCCTTCCAGCATGAAGTTTCTTCAAGGTTAGAGTGGATCACCAAATGTTCTTCCTTCCCAACCTCTTCGGGGAAGCAAGGATGGAGGGTTTAACCCCACCACTGCTCTAGCAGTGTGTACAGGTGGTTTGAAAACTTCTGCCCATGAAGGTGGGAGTACTCTACATCTTTGGATGCAAAGACCAAACTCCCTCCCAAGAGATTGTCTCCCACAGCTCTTGAGTTATCCTTATTGGGCATATTTGTTTCAGATTTTGGATGAGTTAAACAGAAATCTGATTTTTTTTTTTTTTTTTTTAATATTTTCATGTGGACTAACTTTGACATCTCACTGAAATGTGTATTTTTCTGCAAAATAAAATAAGAGAAAAGGCTGAATTTTACTAGCTAATTTTGGCAGTCACAAAGTTGGTGGCAAGAATGAGAACACTCATGTGCAGAAAACCATCTTAAACTTCCAGCTTGGACATCTATGAAAAATGAGTTAATGCTGTGTAAATTAAAAAGTATGAAGCATGCCATTAAAAAAAAATTGTTTTCTGGAAATGCAACATCTGGAATCTACTGCTACAAATTACCTGTCTGTTAACAACAGTAAGAACATGGAGGGTTTCCTTCCCATCCTAAGGGCATCAGACAACTGCACTGTCAGTTTAACTCAGAGCTCATAAATCAAGACTCACCACCCAAAGGAAAAATAGCATTACTAAAAATGGTGACTGGAATTTTAAAGATTTATTTCCTTTTATGTGTGACTTACTGCTTCCAAGTTATCTCTTAAACTGAAAGTGTAGACTAAGTGATTTATTTATTTATTTTTAAAGAGAAGCTAACATTCCTCTACTGACACTGGACATAGAAATTGACACAATAACAAAAAATAACAAATATTATGAAAGGCAAGAGAACTGCAAAACATTAGCTGCAAAGAACTGGAGATACTTGTGATAAAATTTAACAAAGATTAGTAGAAACAGAAAATCCATTGTTGTTTTCCTAAATTCAATTTTTAGTACTCAGAATAATCAGGAATCAACATAAAGAATGACTAAGCTCATTTATTTCTTTGATTTTTAAACTTTAAAATAAGCCTGCCAATCTTAAATTACAAACTGACAGAAAATAATCCCTTATTAACTATAACAACACTAAGGTCGTTCCTCTTGTCTCTTTGATGATATTTAATCAAGTCTGCCTTCTAATAGTGAACACCTATAGCTGAAAACTAGTATTCCTCATACATCATTATCTTCTGAATTATCAATACTGTCTCACAATTCTATACACTTTTCTTTGGATTGAAGCTTTTTTACTTATACGCCAATTATTCTTCTTAAATATCTATCTAACCACCATAGCCACATTTCTTCTCCTGTGAACCTTCCTCTGTAGTGAAATACAGAGTCATATATATATGGATTATTTGACCTCTTACTATTTGTTCTTTAAAAGAATGACTATTTACAATTACTGCAAAGGCTTAACAAAATAAATTGAAAAAATCTCATCCAAAATCTTTTGAACTCTTGCAGCTTGAGCAACCTTAAACACTGAGGTCATATTTAATATACCTAATATAATCAAACAAGGGAAAAATGTCATGCCCTTCTGGATACCAAAAGAATCTTATCTCTCTAAAACAGGAGACCTTTTCAGTAGTTCAGAGCAGTAATTTTCTTTGATTTTGTAATGAGAAGCTTAGTATTTTAAAATACATGATTCTTCTAGTGATTGGGCTTTGAGTTATTATTAGAATGCTGACACATTTTCCAGCAGTTTCGCCCCCCCGCCGCGATCTGTAACCCAATTCAGCTCTGCAAAAACCCAGCATCTGGGTGAACACCTCTGACAAATTACACCCCTCAACCCAGGTTTCCTGATGGCTGTGCAGGTGTCAGCACAGTCATACCCCGCAACACACGTGACACAAATGCATTTCAAATCAGAATTGGAATTTGCTGGTTCCCACTGCCAAGTTTGAAATGAGGGAAGCAAGAAACACTGAGTTACAGGGAAGTCAGGTTTGAATTTTCAGACTTGCATGTTCACCATGAGATCTCATTTCCTTTGGGTCAGACATACCCTTATCACTTGATTACCGATGGCACAAGACACCAACACATATCTTGCTTGTCATTTTCTGTTGACCAAGCCATCAACCGAAGTTCATTATGTAAATACAGAATCCTCTCCTTTGGAGTGGCTGTCACCTATTACTATAGTATTGTTGCAAAATGCTCATTTCCAATGCTCAAAAGATGAGTGGGATCAC